TGAAATGACAGACTATGGACACCTCCATGGAGGGCCTCAGCCTCCCTGGGGAAATGAGGGGATAATGGGAGTGGGGGGTGGGGGAGGGTACGGGAGGAGGGGAGGGAAAGGGAGAGGGATGTGGAACTGACTTGTGAAGCAACCTTGTTTTTAATCTAAATTTAAACTTAAAAATAAATAATAAAAAACAATTAAAAAGTCTTGTTTGAAATTTAAAATATTTGTGAGTCAAATTGAAGTATTAAGATAGTTATGAATAAATGATTAACTTCATCCTTGTTTTAAAATAAATAGAAGTTATATTCATTATGGTTGACCTGAAGGGAACTCACCAAGATGAATTGCTGAATTTATTTAAAAATTTGTAATAATATGGAACTTACAGACCAGACAATTCTATGTTTAAAATCATAATAATATAGAACTTCAAGGGCAGACCATTCTACATTTGGTATAAGCACCATACTCTTGCCTCCATGCCAGAATCACCACTTCCTTACTGTCAGCTTAGCCTGCTCTCAGAGGTGGCCACTGAGTAGAATAGAAAAGGAAATAATCCATGAATGAGTAGGTCTAGGTCAGCGGTTCTCAACCTGTGGATTGAGATCCCTTTGAAGGTCAAATAACTCTTCCATAGGGGTCACCTAATTCCATCTGTATATCAGATATTTACATTATGATTCAGAAAAGTAGCAAAATTACAGTTATGAAGTAACAACAAAAAATATTTATGTTTGGGAATCACCACAACATGAGGAACTGTATTTTAAAGAGTCACAACATCAAGAAAGTTGAGAAACACACACTGGTTTAGTGAGTGTGAAGATGAAAGTTTCTGTCCCACCTGGTCCCACAGCCTTTTAGTCCAAAATAAGCACACAGAGGCTTATATTAATTATAAACTGTTTGGCCAATGGCTGGGGCTTCTTATTGGATATCTCTCATAATTATTAACCCATTTCTATTAAACTATGTATTACCACGAGGCTGTGGCTTACCCATAATGCTCCCACATATTACTCCTTTGCCAGCTTCATGGCGTCTCTCTGGCAACTCACCCTCCATGTCCTCTCCCTGAATTCTTCTAGTCTGGTTGCCCCACCTATACTTCCTGCCTTGCTACATCCTGCCTGTCCATTGGCCAAAACAGCTTTTTATTCATCAACCAATAAGAGAAACATATATTCACAGCATACAGAAAGACATCCTACATCAGAAGTGGTCTCACAACTTTAGAACAAGAGGATTATATGGGCATAGGAACTTCTAGGCTTATAGACTTAGTTTTATAACAAGTAGTAATTCAGATATGCAAATGAAGTATGTGTTCGGATAGGAAAATATCTCAAGTTGATAACTGGTAGACACTGAAAGACTGTTCACTTAGTGTTCATAAGGGAATATACAGTCCATTCTTATATGCACTTATAAAACCATCTATAAATGCACAGTTGCTTCTAGTTTTACTTAAGGTTGGTATGAAATCTAGTAAGTAAACTTAACCAATTCCTTACCAATAACTCATTTTTCTGAGTTATTAGAAACCAAATACTTCTCCATGCCTTTGAAAGAGCTCTCCTTCATGCCATGCCTGTCTCTGTCATTTGAGTCCCTGGTCTGTCCTTCTCATCCTCACAACAGGTATGAAGGAAAATAAGCAACCGAACTATGATTCGAGGTACTAAGTTATAAGCATTTTCTGTTTCTGATTTAATTATGTTTGTTCATTAAACTATAACACCACCAACAAGAACTTGTACTTTAAGCCAGGTGAGACATGAGGACCTATGTCTCTATTTCCAGCACTCTGAAGGTAGAGGAAGAAAGATCTGGAGTTCAAAACCATCCTCTGCTACATAGAAGTTTGAGGTTATCTAGAGCTATATGAGACCTTGTCAAAAACACAAAGGCAATACTCAAGAAAGTGTCATATATCATATGATGTCAGATACCTTATATTTCTTTGGTAATCATGGTGTTACTGACTGTACAGTATTTAAATTAGCATGGAAAAGATAGATCCAAACTAGTATTTATCAAGTTTAATACCAAATAGTTTATATTAACATTCTAATTAAATAAGGAATACCAATGTCTGCTGACAATGTCAGCTATTAATATATAAATGAATTATTAGCACATGTATAATTTATACCTATTTTTCAACAAAATTTCAGTTACAAGTAAGAGAATTATGCAAATGAGATTAGGGAAATAAGACAGAGTGTGGTGGTACATACTTTTAATCCGAGTATTCAGGAGACAGGGCAGACCTTTGTGAATTCAAAGCCAGTCTGGTCTACACAGTGAGATTCTGTCTAAAAAAGATGAAGAAAATAATTTGGAGCTAAAAGTTGATTGGTACATTCATTTCAAACAGTAGAGTCTCACAGTTCTCAGGAGAGGATCTTTCTGGAGGTCATAAAAGTGGAAGGGATAATCACAAGAGTAGTTGTCCGTACATTTAAATGGATATGTGTTATATGAATATGGTTTGTCTAGAAAGGAAGGATCTCTACAGGACCAGGTGTGATGCTCATAATGGTATTTGGATATTTTCAACTTACTATATGTAGCATCATCTAGATTTTATAAATTAGGTTTTATGGCATAGGTCCAAGGAATTCCTTGAAGAAATCTCCAGTTTAAAACAACAATCCTAATGTTAATTCTTGTCTTTTATTGGCATGGTATTGCTAGAGATCGTGTAATTCTCAGTGGTTAGCTGGATTCTTCTTAGATGTTCCTTTCCATTAAAACTTTTAAATGCCAACCTCAAAACAGAGAGGCAGACTCACAGTCACTCGTTTTTCTTCTAAGAATTACATATTTTGTGTCAGTTATATTTGTGGTTTTAATATAACTAAAACTACAAGCTTTAGATTGACAGTTTTATAATGCATTGGGATGTTATTATTTCTAAACCTTGAGAACCCCAAACTTCTAGTCTGTAGTCTCTGAAGCAATATAACCATAAAATATTGTCTGAACAACGGTGAATGTAGAAAAGTCCAAGGGCTTGGCAGTCTCCCATTCTCCCAGGTGTATCACTGATTTTCTTGGGTTTCTATTTTCTTCGTTGGGTCTGATACTGATTTGAGCTCGAATGTTTTATCTCACCACCATTACACCTCGTTGAAGAAATCTAAAAACAAGTTCTTTGATTAAAACAGAAAACCTGTTCCTGAAGTAGCTGACTACAATATTGGAATATTGTACATAATTCTTACTTCCATTTAAATGATAAACAAATATGATGAAAATTACATCAGCAATACAAGCAGACATGTATTAAACATTTATTGCAGGGTTAAGTATTTTACTTGCCTTACCTCATTTAAATGTAAAAATTATCGAATGAGGTAGATACCCTAGCTTTATTGATTTCACTAATGAAGAAAGTAAACTACTGAAAAGCTAAGTAACTTTACAAATGATACAGGGCTGGTAACTAACAGCTAAGAAATATCAGTTCCTAGCCTGACTTCAGACAGTGTATTAATTTCTTGATTGCCATGCTATAATCTTCTCTGTTTCACCTTTGAGTGTCAAATGAAATTTTTAGGGAAATAAATTTATCTCTAAAAGAAAATGAGGATATATTTATGAGTAGATAAGTTCCCTGGGCTGATTTTAGTATAGTTTGAACGAGGGTGTTCTCTTGCTATGGAATGTTTGATCCAAGTAGTTCCAAACCTTTGGAATCATCAGATTTGCTCGTTCATAGCTTATTTATGCAGAATAATGCAGTTCCAGTATGGTGAGTAGATTCTTATTTTATCCCAATTATCCTCGAATCCCCTGCCCACAGATAATGTTTAGATATGGAGGCTCAGGGGGAATATACTCTACAGGCTAAATGGGACCTCACAGATTCATAGTTAAAACATCTTTAATGTTTAAGACTTATAGCTCAACAAGTATATCAAAGTAAGCCAGACTTTTTAAAATGAGTATTTAGGTTAAAATTGATTGATTTAAAAAACAGGAAGGAATTTATTCTCAACACTTAAAGAAAAAAGCTTTTACAGAAACAGGCTCATAAAGAGGCTGACACTGGTGCACAGGGCCAGAAGTTAAGACAACACTGGGAACGATCAGTCATGGCTTAGTTCTTTTACCAAGCGAGAGGTTTTCTTTTTCTTTTCTACCATAGACAGAGGGTAAGAGATTGGAAAAATAGCAAAAGCAGAGGATTACCTCTAGAATAGAGTGTGTTGCTTTTTATTTCTCCCCTGGTTGTGTTGAATGATGGAAAGTTTAGGCTACACAGCTATGACTTTTTAAAATTAGTATTGCCCCCATGAATAGTGCCTGCCTTCCCTATTTGTGAGCAGCAATCTGTACCCAGTGTATAGTGCTTCCTTAGCTTTTTCCTTCTTTAGCATTTTATTTTCCTAGCCCATTGTGGAGCACAAACAGCTCTCCTGCTTTACAGCTGCTTTTTTTCTGACTGATAGTCAACTTCACTGGCTAGGAATCATAGAAAAGGTTTGCCTTAGTTGATAAGGTGTTTCCAAATAAAAAGATACCCAAAGCTGCAATTAAATAATGCCCAAGGGTCAGAGTAATTTCTCTCTTTATAATAACTGCCTTGCTCAAAATGAGAATTTCCAAGTCTGAAGCATGCTGTGGAAAATGTGCCCACTTACTCTAATTTCCTTTTTGGATATAAAATAATGTTAAAATTGGAATTATCGGGGTTTGCTAAAATTGCATATGGTGTAGTTTCATATGCTCATGTTTTGCTCCCCATCTTTTCCCAGCCTTTTCTTTGAATCACATTCCAAATCTGTCGGTAAAGAATTTAAGAGAAGAGATTCTTAACACACATATTTAATTGCATTTCTTGTGTCATTCTTTGGGGAAAACTTGGTTGGAATTGGTTCACTGGTGCATTTTTTAAGCAACCCCAATGTTTTTCATGTGATAATAAAGATGCAACAAATGAAATAGCATGGGAGAGAATTAAGATAACATGTCTTCCCTTCTTCTTTCAGATGGGAAGGTGGAAGTTACAAAAGAAGGTGTGAAGCTGTGCACCATGGGTCCAGGAAAAGTGTTTGGGGAACTGGCTATTCTTTACAACTGTACCCGGACAGCGACCGTCAAGAGTAAGGCTGATTTCCCTTACTTTTTTTTCACATATCTTCAGAGTCTTCTTTCTCTCTGCCTGTGCAGTATTGGTTTAATGCTGATTGGCTAAATCTGGGTCATTTGTTAGTCTATATTCAAATTTTTGCTCTGTGATAAAGTTGACACATGTTTACTGATGACAAGGTGATTGTTGATAATACATTTTATTTCTGGCATGGGATAATTATTGTTCTCATTGAAATTCTTATGGTAGAACTATTTTAATGGTATAATTTTAAATTAAAATCTACAAGGAGAAAGGACTTTCCTTTCCTCCTACCAGTCGAGCCTGGTCCAAGCCTATTTTAGATTATATGAACCATCTGAAACCCACATGTTGATTCAGAAAAAAAAATGAGGCAAGAAGTGTCCTTTGTCTCATGCAAACATCCCTGAATAAAATACATCCTGGATTCTATGACTGGATCTGAGTATATTTCCGTCTTCAGCTGCTCATCAAGTTGTGCATTGTAGCAGTTGTTCTTTTCTCTGATTGAGCTTATTTTAAAATCCTGCAGTAAAGCAGCTTTTTTCCTGATTTTACATGTATGTGTAGATGTGATTTCTCTGGAAATATTGTGTGTTCAGTGAGAGCAGCTGCAGCAGTTAGAGGGAAATTTGTATTTTTAAGAAGATGTTATCTTGTGTAAATACATAAGGATGGTATGACTAATAGAGCTGAATTCAAAGCCAACAGTGGAAGCCCAGCGTCTCTAGGCAGGTGTGTGTGCCACATTATTCCATAGATACATCAATGGAAATTATGACAAGTAAATTTTGTTTAGAAAAATCTCAGCAAAATGACAGTTTATCCATACCAATGAGTATTATTTGGATGCCACTGAGTGGCTTGTGTATTTTCCCCAAAGTTCAATCTATGGTTGGCAATATGCCACAAAGGCACTGGTTGTATCGTACTCAAGAGTGTATGGCCACCTTAAGTCCCACGTACAACTGGCATGGTTACAGTGAGTGACCTTTCTCCCAAAGTGCCACAGCAACAGCATTTGAATTGGGCTCATTCAGGATGGGACCTTCTTCTCACCGAATTCTTGATCTTAGAGAGGCGATACTTCCTTGATTAAGTACTATCATTCTTTCCTTCCATGCTATCATTTAATTCCAGGACTCAAAAAATAGAGAGCCATGGAAACATAGGATAGTCTGTGCAATGTTAACTTACTAGTAAAGAGCTTACAGTGAGAAAGGAGCAGCTAGAGCTCCATTAAGCAAAACAGATCTCACTATTATGTTTTGCTTTTATAAGAAACATATTTTTAAGGTAAACATAGGGCCAGGAGAGCATGATTCTATTAATATATGTTTTTCTTAAAATTGTAAATAATCCTTGGTGCTTTAAAATTTTTGAACAATCAGCCTTGTATAATACTACTCGTTGAATCTAATTGGGACTACAAATTTCCAAAGGTTAGCATATGGTAATCACACCATACTTCAGCATATGAAATATTGAATTGGAACACTGGAAGAAATGTTTCAAAGGACTGGTTTGTTTAAATGGATTTTAGAGCTAATTATTTTTATAAGATGAGAACTTTGCTTCATAAAGATCAGTGGTCAAATCCAGGCCCTATAAAATGGAGCTCATCTTCACTAACTGTTATATACTCATGTTTGATAAATTTAGATAGGCACTATGCATCTGAATTGGTAAGAACAAGCTGAATGTATGTTGGATACAAAGTACAATCCTAACTGTTTCCCAGTCAAAATACTCCATGCCAAGGGGAATAAGTGATGGCATCATTTTTCTTGAACATAAACAGAATCACACAAGGGTATGCCTATGTGCATGTGTGTATATTTCATGGTACCTACATAAGGCATGGAAGTTGCATGTAGACATGAGTCTTGAGCTTATTGTATGATAAGATATATCTATATTTGCAGTTATAAAGGCTACGGTCATAAGTATGGAATATTGCTTATGAAGAACTATTTCTTTAGATGTTACATAAACGCTATAAGGTACAAATAATGGTTGTTTATTGCTCAGAACTGTTTGTCACATCTCCTTTCTTATCCAAGGAGATTTCACACATGACTTTGGGCCTTAAGTACCACTTTTTCTTGATGATGAAACTAACTGGACAGACTGAACACTTTATAATTCTTGTTAGAATCTACCATAGATATTATTTGTAAACAGCGATGACAGAATATAACACCAAAGACTATTACTCTTTACATGGCAAATTTTAAAATATCTTTAAACATATTTACCTTTGTAGGTCCAATGCTTTCTCAGGATTCAGTATTGTTTGATAGCCTACTTTTTAACCATCATCTTACCAGTGATGACTATTGAGTATACTCATGTTTGAGTTCTAGACTAAAACACCATTCTGCTTATTTGAAAATCAATGCACCCACTTTTGCATAACAATTTACATCTGAGGAGATTGTCCTTCCTATACAATTAGTATACCCATTCATGCCTTTTCCTTTCTTAGTTTTCAGGCCTGGTCTGTCTTTGTCTTCCATAATTAAAAATGTTGATGGCTTCTCTTTCTTCCTCCTCTGGCTGACTGAAAATTTTCTATGCTTTTAAGATATTTATAATCTCAGAATACTGACTCAGTTGTAGGAGGCTTGCAATGAGCATGAGTTAATCTTCCTTCATGATAGCACTTTTAAAAATTTTTTATTGGAACATGAGTAAATTCCATCAGCCTCCCTTGATAGTAAAGGTGATTACAAACCTTTTCATATCAGAAATATTTTTAAACCTCTTAGCAAAGCTCTAGATTGGCCCGAAATGCTACAAAAAATGTTTCTTCATGGTGAACTAACTGAAAGAAGCAATGTGGTAGCTTGGAGCAAGTTCTTGTGTATTTTCCCCTGAAGTTAAAGCTTTTTGTTTTTAACTTTTATTGATTCTCTTTAGATTTCACATCATGCATTCCGATCCCACTTACCTCCCTGGCCCCTTGCATCTGCTCTCTACCCTTACAACCTCCTCCCAAATAAACAGAACCAAATTTAAAAGAAAAAGCAAAAACAAAGCCAAAGAAACAGAGATCCAGAAAGACACAGAGAGAAGAATCTTGTCACCGAAGCTGTAGTGTGGCCTGTTGAGACACACAGTTTAACCTTTAGTACATTCACCTTTGTTTGCAAGTGTTCATTGCCAGAATCATTGGTCTGGCTCAAGGTCTCTGGCTTCTGCTGCACCACTGCCACCTATAATGGGCTCTCACTGGGGCTCCTCTTAGATAATCCTGTTGTTGTCCTGTGCTGTGGAGATCCTGCTGTTTTAGATCTATAGATTCATCCCCTTTACCTACTCCCAACAGTTCACAGATTTGGTGGATGTTGGAGTGAGCCAATTCATAGCCCTAGTTCTGGGCCTGGGTGATAGATAGCAGGGCCAGCCAGCCCACCAGCTTTTGCTCTTAGTCACTACCCAGCGTAGCTCCCCCCAATGCAGCCTGCAAGGAGCAGGGCCCTGTCTCCTGATTGCTGCAGGGGCATACAAGGAGATGGGATCAGCTCTCCTGCTCTCATCCCCTAGGGGATGGCTCAGCTGTGACCAGACAACAGGGACAGCACTAGTGTGCTACCCAGGAGGGGTTCAGGGCCCTGCTTGTGTGCTGCAACTGATAAGGGGCAGGGCTAGTTCCCTCTCACTCTCATGACCCAGGACCCTCCTCTCTCCCGTTTTGTTTGGTTTTATTTTTTCTTTGTTTTCTTTGATTCCTTTTTTAATCATGGAAAAATAATCAACTGGCCTTTTCCTTAAAGTACATAAATGTGTAACACAAGTTGTTATGATGACACTGGGAGGAAGTTCTGATACTATGAGGAAGAAATATTTTTAGTACTCAAAGCCATAGTGATGTAGGAAGAAAAACATCATGGCACGACACAGAAGATCTATATTCACGGTCAACTCCTGTCTTACAAGGTAGCACCATTGATTCACCCTTGAGAAATGAAGATGTAAAAATGCATAAAATTAACATTATATAGGAAATAAAAATCAAACAACTTTGAGTCTCAAGAAATGTTTGTTAGCTGTGATATGAAATTGGCCACTTGGATCGTACCTGTCCAATTATAAGCAGTACAGATGCCCAGGGATAAGAAAAGAGTCAGCTATTACAGTTGGTTTCTGCAACATATTGAGTAATTAGTGTCTCTCATATTGTCTGGGCTTCTCAGATTTGTTTAATTGTTTGGCCATGTCTAAAGAAAAGAATTTTACTGTGCAGTTTTCAAAACCTATCACAGCCAGGGACCTCTCATTGGCTGAATACAACTTGCCTTGTCATTTCCCACAACTGCAGATTATCATATCTCTCTAGTCACTCCTGGTTTCACTTTTACTGCATTCACCCTGGAGTGTTAACAATTTACGCTTACCTGGGCCTCTTTCCTGTTTTTAATGCTCAAGGTTCTTCAAAATACCAAAATAAAAAGTTGCTGGACTTCTAAAACCAGAGAGGAAAATGTGTTTGATTCACATGGAGGACAGAGCCCAGTAATTAGTACCTTATGTGTGTTCTTTTATGACATCTCTGTTGTTCTAGTTTTCTTTCATTTCCAATGACCAGTTCAGTATCAAAAGCTTGGTAATGTGACTTAAGGCATAAGGCTTTTTTGTTCTATCTCTCATTCATGGGAAGAGGTTTTTTTTTTTTGCTTTAAAGTAACAAATTAAAGCAATGTTCCTCTTACACTGAGTTTGAAACACATTATTCAAATAGTCTTGCTCAAATCCTACTCAATAAATATCAAAAACAAAAAGAATTCTTTGTCCAAAAGAGCCTCAATACCAGATTAGGAAGATTCACCAGAGAAAGTTATCTAAGGCATGTGCCTGTGTGGGCTGGGTGGATATATTATGAGGCTATTTGGACAAAATATCTTAGTTATTATTTCTCTCTAGAATATTTATAACAAGTATTTAAAAATTCCTTTGTAGTAAAACAGTTCAATGCTAACACAACACAGT